CCCTGCTCGTGCCGGCTCATAATTCGAGGCGCCGCTGAACCAGGCTCATTGGGCAAGCCCACCACAGCACAGTGGCTACGCAGGTTCGGTGCACAGTAACGAATGCCGCACAACCTTTGACACAAAGTTTGTTTGGTTTTGAGTTAAGCAATTTTGGCGGCAATCCATCAACGCGTGCCCACGCTATATTGAGTCCAGTCGATTCTCACACGGGACCACCCGCAGATATTTCATTGCACACGCACGGCTCTTTCTATCAAAATATAACAAATTCTATTTATGTGGATTTACATGTACCTTACATAGTTTAGCATACCTTATTTACTGTTTAACATGCATATCGTTTTTTATAAAATTTTACGGGATCTATTTTCAGCCTCACGGGAGCAATTTTGGAGGTTTGAAGAGCGAATCGCTCATCGCTCCAGTGTATTTTTTACCATGCATAGAAGGCCCCTGGCTTTTAAATTTTTGACAAGTTTTTTGTTATATTAGGTATTCTAAAGACATTTTTATATACTGTCCCAAGGGCTTTTGGGGCAGGAGGTATGTTTTTCAACGCGGCAGTGTGGTTTTGTTCGACAGGACCAGCTTGCCATAAAATTTTCAAGAGCCCTCAATGAGCTCTCCATCATCCCTTTTAAAGGTGTGATTTTTAGTGGAGCTCTCCATCATGCCTCTTAAGGGTGTGATTTTTTAGTGGGGCTCTCCATCACGCCTCTTAAGGGTGTGATTATGGAGTGTGAAAAGACCCCCTATGGTGTCCTAGGGGAGTCATTAGTAGTCCTCCTGTACTTTTCAAATCTGAAAGCCTGGTCTATATGCAACAAACGCTGGCTGCCGCTGCAAACTGACACATAAATATTTATTTATTTATTTAGCATTATATTTTATTGAAACGTTCCAAGTGCCTGTGTACCTACACATCAGTCTTCAGCACTTCGGGCTGTACTGTACTGACACTGTTAGTGTTAATGTTGCTCATAGGGTCTATGTCCCCCAGGGTACTGCCGGAACGTACCCTGGGTACGGTCCGGTATACCGGAATGTACCCTGGTCACTATTTGATATGGTTAGGATTAAGGTTAGGGTTAGGAAGTAGGCGTAGGCGACTCCCTAGACTCGTTAGTGGAGTAGGCGAGGTACGGTCTGGCATATTAGATAGTACCAGGGTACGTTCCGGTATATCGGACCATACCCAGGTTACGTTCCGGCAGTACCCTGGGGGACATAGACCCTCTCAGCGTTAGTGTTGCGTAACCATTAAACCAGTCAATCGTATTATTTCAACGTGTATACTACTATTTTTTCTTTTGATTTGTTTAGGCCTAGTAAGGTGATTATGAATGCATCTTGTATGTATCTTGTTACGTTGTATGTATCTTGTAAGTTGTATCTTGGTTCCCTCTCCTGTATTTCACAAGGCACTCGATTCTTCGAATCACGAAAGGACCAGTGCGCTTCTCGCCCCAATGAACTTTTACTTCACTGTGAACCTAGGCAGGGTATTGTCTTATGAAGTCTGAATAGGACGGAAATTGTAATCTAAAACATGATGCATTACTTTTAAAATTGTAACCAGCGCAGCGCTACACCTGTTCACCGTGCACGCAAGTTCATCCTACCTCCCAATCCTACTTCCCAACTTGCTACTAGCGGAGTAGCGCCATCTCATGTGCACCTATGACTAGAGAATCCCATCTAGGTGTGCTTCCGTGCGCAGTGAGCAGCTATGGCACTGTTCTGGTTAGAATTTAGATGAATATCAATATATTACATGATAAGGTTATATTAAAGGGACAGTAGCCTCTAGGATTTTACTGCATACAACTGTACTTACTGTATAACAAATCGTCTATACCCACACGTATTTGTTACCAGATACCAGTAAGGTACATGTAAATCCACATAAATAGAATTTGTTATATTTTATTAACTTCTGCTGTGTCACATAAATATCTGCGGTCGCCGTTAAAATCTGGATCAATATACGTGGCACGCTTATATTGCTGCCAAAATTGTTAACTCAAAACAAACAAACTTGTGTCAAATTGTGGGCATCGTTACTGTGCACGAACTGTAGCACTGTGTATGGTGGGCCTGCAATGGAGCTGTTGATAGCAGGTCAGTCTAGAGCACACTCATTACTTCTCTGTGTGCTTCAGTCATAGAAATATATATAGTAACTAATGGTTTACTATATAATTATATGGCTTTGACATGTACTCAAACTACGTTAATGTTATCAAGGTGTTGGAAACCATATTATAACCTTAAGGAAAACATTAAAATTTGACCATCTACAGGGAGCCCAGTTATAGAGGCTTTTAACAGACTACCTGCCACTTATGGGCGGGGACATTGCTGTTTTTAACACTAAGGAAGTGCTAAATTCCCCGCCTTTTCCCGGGGGTCGGGGGGACAGAGTTTCAATTGACTGGTGGATAAGAGTTAACATTATTGTTTCATACAGTGTATGACAAATGTATCATAGCATACAAACTACAATATTTCTCTTTCTGTCTGTGTATCGCAATACGCATTGTCAGGGTTCGACACCAACCCACGTCCGACCGACCTAGTCGGGTAAATGCTTGGTCCGGTCGCATACAACCAGTGCTAGTACCCCGACTGGTCGTGTTAGAATTAGTCATATATATTGCACTGAAAGGTCACCTCTGGCTAGACTGGTTCGCGGCCGCACTGTTTGTCACAGAGCATGTACATTGTCTAGCAGAGCGTGAGGCAGGATACCAGTCTACCCTTCGGCAAAAACAATAACGTGGCTTGCTGCCAGCCGCAGTAGACGATTGATAAACCGTGCGCTCGTGTATGCCCGTGGTAGAATACGAATGCTGCACGTGAACTCGGCCCACGCGCGATTTAAAGCGCGGGAAACAGCATCTATGAATTCATACGATAACACACTCTTATCTAAATAAAGTTTTTCATAACAATGGTCTGGGTCTGGGCTAGTGAAAGTTAGGTCAGGGCTAGTGGTTTTCCTCAGTTACTAGCCCGATGGTCTAGTGAAATAAAAAGTTAATGTTGAACCCTGCATTGTACCTGTGTATCATGAAACGTATCGTATTGTTACAGCTCTAATAATTAACATAATAATATTCTGATCATAACCACAATACAATTCAATCTACTCAGACATATTAACATCTACTCACTTGAAGTTGATGAGGACCTAAAGGCTTACTGTTAGCATTGCTGCTGCTAGACATCATGCATCTATTGATCCCAGCACTGGATATACTACTACTAGCAAGCAGTCTAAGCTTGTTTAGCATGAGTACTGCTGTTCATTTCCATACTATGATATACAGCAAACTCATTTAGCCCTTCCTTCCTCTTTGCCACTTTGGATATGACGTCTATTTGATCCAACTTTAATTTTCTCTCTCCGTCTTCGATATTATCAGCATAGTCTCATGGACTTTGAAGACTAATCATTTTGAGGTTACTTATGAGTAAACCATCGTTGCAATTTTCTGTTTAAATGATTTCTGACACCAAATCTTTACAGTTACACTACAAGTTCACCTATCTCTGGCCTACAGCACACAATCATGACTAGCACCATCTAAATGTGTCCGTGATCGGTGTCAATCGCCATGAACAGAGCTAATACAAAGTACTACCTACAGCACCTAAACACTAAAATTTGGTACTGTGGTCATTGTTAGCTCCCGCTTCCTGGCTATATCAGTATAATATGTACACAGTGGATAACTACTAGTCATACTACACAGTGCAATCGAAGTGACTGACTAGAGCTGTAAATCTTGCATCACTGCGTGTCGATTGCGCGCGCAAAGTCAAACTAAATGACCACCAATACGCGTACACAACTCAATGCCGATTTGCCACAATAAAAACAGAAGAACAACTTGTGAAATGAACAGTAATGAATGAAAAACATGTATTTTCATTCCAGATGCGATTACTTACAGCTAATTTTGGCTGGCTATCGGATCCACCACTACCATTTTCTGCCGGCATTGTTGTCTTGTTGATTCCTTTGAACTTGTGCTTTTATCGACAGTTTGTTCAAATCGCCGGATAGGTGCCGATCTCGCACAAAACCCCCAAATTCCTGCCCAGGCTCACTTTCCGCAATGAAAATGTTGCAAAGAACTCACACGCTACAAAATGACAGATCAGAACTGGTTACAGAATTATCGAGCGAGCCACACTTTATAATGGCACTAGACGCAACTGGATAAGCAATCAAGTTGTACGAAAACTGGATATATGCGATCAGCAACAACAAGTTCATTACTCCGCCATTTCCACGAAGGCGCCTTGTAAGAGATATTTTGATTGGTCAAACGAACACCATAGCAGCGAATCAGCGTTTAGAATGATTTTCACACTAGAGTGCGCTGCAATCTCCAACAACAACAACTTGTGCATGATTCCAAGTTGGCACAGTTTTAATTTTTGATTGTTGTTATAATTGTATATCTAGCTCCTTAACTTTGTGATGTGTTAAAATAAAATCGTCAGTTTTTTGATGTCGGGATCAATGAATGATTGGTTTTAACTTTGAGAAAACGAGATGGCCGGATCAGCTCTTAAGCGTTTGATGGCAGAGTACAAACGTATGTCGTACTTAGGGTCCCTTAACCCGACCAGGCTGTGTCAGTGTGACTAACGTCAATACACCCGGTATCTAACCCTAGCAATACCGTTTCTTGGAGCTAAGGGTCCCTATACTATAGTATACTTAGTAATAGTATTAGTATATATATATAAATGGGGATAATATTAATAAATATATTATTAATGTTTCTATACTCTCTTCCACCTATTATTGCCAAATGCTCATCTTGTATCTTGTATCTTGGCACCCTCTCTTGTATTTCACAAGGCACTCGATTCAACGAGGTGCGGGGATTACCTATCTAGAGAAAAAGGAGCGACGTGGATATTCGTCCGAGCATCGGACACCTGTTCGTATGCGCTATTCGTCCGAGCAGTTGTTGATGTAGCGTGCCGCAGGCGCACGGCCTCTAATGCCGGAGATAGGAAGTGTGAAGGGGGTGTCTGGGGGGTTCCCCCCCAGCCAATTTTAAAATAGACGCTCTAAATTTTAAAATCTAGACGCTCTAAATTTTATTATATTATATTATATTAGGCTTATATTTTGCCCTTTAGGCTTTTTGCCTTGCGTTTTGCTACGCAGCCCTACGGATGTGACGCCCTGCATTGCGGATGAGACATGCGTTGCGTACGTGGTTATACACCATAGATAGTGTTTGGTACTATCATTTGCCTATATATAAGCAAACCGAGTTGGATAATAATTAGTGGTAGGTTTAGATTGTGGTTAGTATTAGAGTTAGGTTAGAGTTAAATAATTAGTGG